GGGTTAGAAAGAACCACCCCTTTTGCTGGAAAAAGGTCCACTCTGGGTAAAATTTGATCTATGTACATGAAGTTTTTATGAAAAAAGGTCCACTTTTTCAGAGAAAGAACCCTCCTTTTGAAATTGCTGGCTATGGGCCTGGGCTGTGTTGTGATTAAAAGTTATCAGTCCAGCAGGATGGATCTATATCTGTGGGAATTCTTGCTAAGAACTAGGGTAAACTTTGTTGTCCATGATGTTGTTCATGTTGCTTTGCAAGGGGGCATGCCAGATAAATGTGCCAATTACAATGATTGCACCTTAGCAAGATTCCCCATTGAGATAGATCAATGCTGCTGGGCCGATAGCTTTTAATCTGAACACAGCCTAAGATGTAAAAAAAAATTCAAACTTTGTCTCTCGGGGTTTACTCTATATCACACTACACAAAATGCCAACATGACTTAACCTAATGTTCATTTTACAACTTCTCTCAGGAAATGAAAGAAGACTTGATAATGTGCTCATAAAAATAATCACAGGTGTGACTTATTTCTTGGGAGATAAAGTCAGCATGGTCACTTTATTTATGGTACCAAAAAAAAAAAAAAAAAAAAAAAAAAACTTTTTAGAACAATTAAATTCCTGCTCAGTCATATGATTTGACTTCAAGTTTATGGAAATTATACAACATCCAATTGATATACCATATATTAAAAATTTAAACATATATTTCCATATTTTAAATGTTTCCTGATAGATTACTGACTGGAGAAATAAATTTTTTATTTGTGCAAGATTACTAGGACTATGATAGTACTGCAATACGACAAAGAACATAGGACAGTTAGAAAATGTCTCACCTGTCCTGGGCCGTATTTGAGTGCTGCATTGATGAAAGACATGATGGCTGTCTTCAGGTGGACCTCTTCTCTGTACACACCAGTACTTCTGTCCAAGTCATTGATCAATGTCTGCAAAACAGCACAACACAAGCTTTGACACACAAAATTTAAAAATCAGAAGTTTTGTAGTAATTCTATATAATATATATGGGCACACATACTTCAATCCTAAGAAACTCAAACAGGCAAGTTCTAGAAGGACGTCTACGTTTGCTCCAGAGAGTGGCTTCCTTTTAACCCATTTTTGAAAATCTTCACAATGAAGACTTCAAAATTTACCTATAATCCCTAAATCCTCCAGAAAAGGAAATGAGATTTTCAAAGTCAGCTTCCAGCTAACAGTGAAGGGGCAGTTCAGTAGAGCCTGTGTGTATGAAGTATCCACATTAAATCAACTTCAGTGAATCATGATAACTTTTTCTGGATTTCTTTTGACCAAATAACTGTTAAAAAAAACTTGAAAAGCACAAGGAACAACAACCCAAAATGTAACAAGATAGGTTTTGACAGGAAGGGGAGAGTATGGGGTCAAAGACAGACAGGAATGTAGAGAGAATATGACTGCGATGTCAACTGGCCTAACCTTTCTCTGATGTGAAAACTTTTTTCACAGTAAGCAGCAATTTTAAAGCAATTGCTTATCAATGCAATGGAAATGGTACTGCCAAGAGCATTTTTAAGTCTATTGAACTAAGTGCAACAGACCTGTGAAGTTTTAAGTAAAACAATTAAACTGAATCTTGATAAAGCAATCCTCCTTTTACACACAAAATGACACAGTTATCAATTTAACTTCTCCATCCTGAACGAATTGACCCACCTGGAACCTGGTTCGTTCACACGCATACTTTTGGTAATATAGCATGGCGTCCAGAACTTTCTTGTGTCCGCCCGGCACCAAGCAGACAGCACCAAGGATCTCCAGCACAGCTATCTTTGTCTTGATGTTGTCCGTGCTCAGGCTCTGGGCTATTATGTTAATACTGTTGGGATGGGCCAGGACATGAGCTCTACCTTGCTGAAATGGGTTAAAGAGAAAATCATTTCAAATTATCTAATATTATCTATATCACTGCACAAGAATCCAAAGAAATACAAACTTCATCAAGATAACTTTAAATATAAATACGCCAATTTTTAACTAACAGCAAAACGTTTATTGTAACTAAGGCACCATTTAGAATAGGGGACCAACTGGTCCGAGTGTCAAATATGGCTGACCCACTTGAATACTTCATCATGGGATATCTATTCAGTGTCTACCAGCGGATTAGACGGCAAGCTTTGTAGTGGGTCCCAATATTTGACCCTCGGACTAGTTAGTCCCCTATTCTGAATGGGGCCCAAGTTTCAGACATGGCAGCCATTGTTCTACGTTGTGAAGGACTATAGATTTATTTGCAGCTTCATGCCAAGACATTTTTTATAACTTTTGTAAGAAAGAACAACAGCGGCAAACTTCATGTGCATCACATTTCACTGACATGGCTTTACACACAGTTCCAATTTGCATTTAACATGTCTTGTTCTGGGCTTAAAACTCAGATCCCATTCCAAAAAAGACACCATCGGTCTACTGCCAACATACTCGCATAATCACCAGGTTTTTTGGTGCTCTTTTTAAGCCAGGAGGAGGCGTGTTACTCTGTTAAGCTGATTGCACTTAGCCAGAATCTCTGCAGAGTTGGGTCAATCCAGGTAGACCCACATTAAGGTAATGAACTTTTACTCATGTACCATCTATCAGCTGTTTATATTTATTCACTTGAACATTTTTGAAAAGTTATCATCTTCCAGCAGCGTGTTTTATATTTAAGAAATGTATTTAAGTTTATGTAATTACCCACTGTATCAAACAACTAGTTTTAAAATGCTTTTTTCAGTGAATTTTTGGCCCAAAGACCTAAATCAGCCGTCAACACCATCTCTTTTACGAGGTGTTATTCATGTAAATTTTGCAGCACCATAAACCAATCACATCAGATTATGGACCTCCTCTGCCAAAATGGTTCATCAGCACCAATCCTGGGGGTTGAAACCTGAACATTCCTCTTCAATTAAAGTACAGTTTTTTTCTGGAAAAAGTTCCTTCTATGAGCAAATTGTTGTTGGAACATCATCCGAGTCTCCATGGTTGCTGAGCACACACACATGGGGAAAATCTTAAAAGAACTTTTTGCCTTTTCAATTGAACTTTAAAATTTGTAAGTCTTTTTCATACCAAAAAAATCCAATAGGCTGAGAAAAAATTTAATCTTTTTAATTCTCCACTGCAATTGATATTTCTTTCTTTTTGATGGACCTAAAATTGCAGAAACCATCTGCTTTTCCAGCCAAGCTCACTTCAGTATTTCATAAATTTCCAGCACTATAAAAACACAGTAGTGCGGTCAAGTGGAAATCTCAAATTTAAAAAAACCTGGGAGCATTTTAAATTCCACTCAGTCTCAATCAGAAGGTCGTTTGCCAGATGTTTACATCAATTTAGTAGCATGTGCAAAAAGCATATAGAAAAGAAAAACTCAATTAGACGATAAGAGGTTCAACTTTACTTCTTAAATGTTCTACAGGGCCATGCATGCCAGTCTTACAGAGCCCAAAGACAAGGAAAATGTATGTTTAGACCAAAGTGAACAGCAAGTCAAATAAAATCTAGAAGTTTATAACAAAAAAAGTATGATTTAAATTGGTCTGTTGGGTTCTAATGCCTATACCACTCTCACATATAGTCAGGAAACTCTGATCATATATGGGCCCTAGCTGGGAAAAGCTGTCCATCTGCAGTCTCATGTACTTGAAATCAAATCTATAAACACATGTTTTAGAGAAAAATGGAATTTTATCTATATTTAAAAAAAGCTCAATGCGCTGCTGAAATTGGCCTGCAATCCATTTGATCTGATTTTTTCTTTACATTATCAATGCATAAAAGAAAACTAATTGGAACTTTAAGCAAACACATCAAAAAACAAATCTTGCTCTTTCAGAACAAGGAGAATATTTTTTCAATGAATGTTCCAGCAATTTCCTTGTCCCACCCAAAGAAAAGAATGCTTCTCTTGGTGAATATTTTTTAAGATGGAGAACCCAAGACTTCTGCTTTGCTCAGGACAAGAAGAAAGGCTTTTTAAAAAAAATTTTCACAAATTTAATTACTTTAAGCCAAATATACTTGTGTTGTAACACAAACAAACCATTCTAAGCAGTTCTTGAGGAACAGGAACACTCATTTAGAAGGATGTCTTAAATTGCATGAAGGCCTCTAACTATGCAAAACCCTTGGACAAGACAGAAAAAATCATTTTAAATCATCCATAGAGATAACAGTGTTTTCAGGATTTATCATAATTATTACTCAAGTTGAACTGGACAGCAAAGCTGGCAAATATACACACACTAAATAGAAATTAAGTTTAATCAATCATGCTGACTTTCAAACTCAACATGCTTTTTTACAAAACACAGCCTATGAGCAAAACAAAATACAGTTTGGCACGTTGCCGTAAACATAGTCAAAATACGAAAAAAAAGTGTTCAAATTGATTATCCAACTCAGCTTGTCTTTTCTCAAATGAAATTCCTTAGTAAATTTATAATAAGGTGTCTCTACATAAAAATACAAAAGAACAACAAGATCAATAAAAAATAGTTATTTGATTAAGAAAAATGTCATCTTATTGCCATCTTATTACATGTCACATACAGCATGAAAAATTAAATAGGACAAGAAAATTCATTGCTTTCTTGCATTCCCCCCCCCCCCCCCCCCCACACACACACACACATAGAAGATTAAGATGGTATCACAATGTGTTATTATACTAAAACAAGTCATGAACAGCTGCCAGTCCTGATCCCACCCTCACCAACCACTTAACACCAGAAGTGGATGTAATATTATGTGGAATGCAACTCACAGCTGTGGGGACCCACCCTTGTGTGGTGTAACACAAATAGTAGCTTTCAATTCGTTACACAATATACAACAGTTGGACATAACTTCAAGACTTTTCTCCTGTCATGCTACGGGCAGTGAACCTTGGCACTTAAACACAGTTTATTTTTACTTATACAAAATATAATTTATTATAGTAATTAAATCAGTAATAAAAATTAATTACTGATATTACAACTAACAGCAGGGCTATACCACTGTACCTACATTTGTCCCCCACTGTTATTTATACAAAAGTTGGGCAAGACATGGATCCTGTCACTGATGTGCGCACACACTCACATATGCACGTGCGCACACACACACACACACACACACTGAAAGCAGTAGCGGTCTCTTGAAATCTTTTCTTTTCATTTTAGACTAAACAAAGCTTTGCTGCTGAGAGAAAAGGGGTTTTAAAAAGTCACTTTCTTGTAAAAATGCATTGCATTTGGTCAATTAAGCTGATGACAGCATCATAATTATGCATTTTCTATAAGACTCAAAATGTGTTCCTTTGCATGTTGTATTCAAAAAAGATCTTTCTTGAGATTTGCTGAGATCATTTTCACAAAAATAACAACTCGCCCTTTGAGAAATTGACACTTTCAAGAAAATCATCGATAACTTTCTTTTTTCAGTGCTGTTTTTTCCCTACATGCCAAGCGCACACACCCTGCATTGTCATGTAAAAATAAAGAGTCTGATACTAAGCATCAAACATGGAATTTGCATGGTTGTTTACAATACATAAAACATAAAACATTACAATGTTTTAGTATAAAGTAAGGTTTTCCAAACACTTTGTTCATACTGACAATTCAAAGTCAGGAGTATAGGATTTCATATCTGTCTAATTTCTCATTTTGAATTTTGATTCTTCTATATAAGCTTATTTTTTAACATTAAGGCCCTAAATAAGCTAAAAAGCCTTTTTTCTTGGAAAATCATCCTGCAGCTTCCCAAATACAACTGCACTTCTCTGCATTTCCTCGAGATCTTGAAGGAGTTAGCGTTAAGGATTGCACTTAACTTGAAGTGTTCAATATCAAAATCTATGCAACAATTTGATTTATATATAGTTTTATACTTAGTTTTTCCATAATGCTCCTTCAAATTTTCCTCAATTTTTTGAAGTGTGAATCTAAACATTTCATTGGAAGAGCTCCCCCCAATTAAGCTTCAAACAAATAAAACATTTACAGCAGAAATAATTCCTACTGGCATTTATATATATATCAACATCATCCTTTTCAATTCACATAGCTCCCTCCCTTGCTTTACACACCCTTTACAAAGTAATTAGCAAAGCTTCTCTTCAATCATGGGCCTGGTGTATTGTTCCCGTCAAAAACCTTCAAGATATCAATTATTTTTCACTGTCTGTCCACCTTCTTGTGTATCAGACCCGTTTGGAAATTTAATTGGTATTTTTTTTCAGATTTATTTGCCAATTAATGCCACTATAAGTAGTTTGGAAGAGGAACAGTGCCCCAAGTTTGACTTTGTTTAGAAAGCAGTAAGTGATACTATTAACCATGCCCTTACTGATGACTGCATCCAGGCAATCATTTAGCTATTATAATGGGGTTAGTCCTTTTCACTAAATCCAATATTGTCTAGGGTGCACTGCATGAACAAAGCATAATTAAGTCAAGGGTTACATGGTAAACTGGGTCATATTTTAAAATAGGTCACAACATACCTATCTGAGCAATTTCATCATATTATTTAATCATCCTCAATTTGTGGATGATTACTGTAACAGTAATTACTTGATCTCTTCAATGGGCAAAAATTATCGAACTGTTAGATACAGAATTTTATAGTGCTTTTGCTGCATAAAATAGAACTATAGTGTAGCCTTCTTTTTAATTTTGTTGCCACCACTCAATAGAAATATTCTAATTTTAAGAAATTATGATTAAAAAATACAGCATCTGTAAAACTCACATCCCCCCCCCCCCCCATTGAAAAGACTGAGTATTTACCATACATCTAACTTACAGAGTTGTTCATCAGAGCCTTGATGCATCCTATGACGGAGGTGTGAATGGCGCCCTGACACGTCTCAAAATCCAGGTTTTCCAGGAAGCGGAGGAGACACTGAAGACCATCCAGTTCTATGAAACGTGTCACAAACCTGGAAATAAAGCAACAGTAATTATAGTTATCACGAAATTAATAGCTGATACAAAAGATGAATGAATAATTGTAAAAAAATGAATGAACAAATGAGGGTAAGTAATTAATAAACAAATATTTATTTTAATTTTATGAAAGTATAACTTAGAGACACTTATTCAAAATTAAAATGTGAATACTATGGCATCATTAAAGGACTAAAAGTTATTTCAACATTATGTGAAGAATTGAAATGAAAAATGTAACAAATATTAAATAACCAAATATATAAACTTTCTCAAACTAAACCTTCATTATTCAATACATAAAAAATTATCTGCAAATTAATCATGCAGACATGAAATGTGACAAACAAAAAAATTCTCCACAAAAAATAAGGGCTTAAACTTTAGAAATTACAAAAACCTTTCTAAGAAGGCTATTTTCTTAGTAAGGATGCAGACCATCGACTGTAATGAAAGTGAAACATACTGGTATCCATTATAGTTACTAAACAGATTTCAAATCTTTAAATGTATTTTAAAAAATAAGATGCCAACTGTCATATTCAGACATCACACCATACAGATGAAATGATCAACAATAGAAAAAAAAACTCCTGTTAAAAAGTACACTCTTTAGCCCTTAATAAAGAGCTAACAAATAGAGAATCAATATGTAGTTTGAGCACTACAGGCAGTTTTTCTATAAAAAAATTTCAGTTTATACATACATAATTTTGTCAGGTACATATATTAGTAATAAAGTCTATAATGAAGAATATCTCATACGCTGCTTCTTCGTTGATTCTGTTTTGCTCAACACTAGAACTGCATGTACGCCATAATACCCATGAGGGTTTGAATTACTGAATGACTGGAGAAAGAAAATTGAGGTGGTTGAATAAACAAACTACAAGAGTCCCACTGTGAAGTTATCAGCTGATTAATCATATGGCACCACCAGAGTAGAATTTAACTTCTTAATTTGTTACATTGGGGTCATTTTACAAAATTTTTGGCTATTGTGGCAATTACAGCATTTCCTTTTAATGTATAAATAATAAAATGCCTACAATCAGCCAAACAGTTTAACATAAATAAAGTCTTTTACCGATCAAAATGATTACAACTTAATAAAAAATACAGGACGGGAAATTTCATTAACTCACAAAAAAAGACCCAAGAAAATTTGCCTATTTCACGCTTCAGCAAGCATCCTGGCATGGAATTCTCTATGTGTTCACAAATTCAAGTGCAATGAATGGATAACAAAAGAAAAAAAAACTCTAAAAAGAAAGTTGTCTTCATGTCAGAATTTTTTCTATTTGGTATGACTTTGTGGGACAAACCAATCTGACAAAAATCAGTGTCCTCAACTTCCTGGGATCTATTATTTCATCTTTTTTCCTAGTATAGGTGCCACATTCATAGGAATATAAGTTATACAACTCTGATTATTCAGTCTCGAAAGTCAAGAATAACTCCACCATCTGATAATCACTTTTAGTGTATCATCTTTTAATCAAAATAATCTCATAAAGTCAAGCAAGTTCACAGTAATTCCTAGTTACACCCTCAATCAGCATATGTAATCTCCAACAACAGGTGGTTGAAGGGGGTNCTGTTACTCCTTCCAGTCTACTTAGTAAATGTGAATTGCGTTTCTCGTCGCAGCCAGGTACCACGTGACTAGCACATCTAACACACTCCAGAAACTAGGTCAGTCACAATGTGAGGCTGGTAAATGAACATTATCTCCTCTGTTATGTGTGACTTATCAGCTGTGGGTTCAGGTGTGCAGCACGATTAAGCGCTGTTGACGTGTCAGGGGGATGGACATGACCAGAATTACCCTAAAATCAGCCAGGTAGGTATTTAATTAGGTGTTTGATCAAGGCGGAGATTTGTGACGACCCTTTTCAAGTTCAGATCAACAAGTAAACATGATACATGGCTTCCGTGTTGTAATAGATCGTACGCTTGGCTTTATTACACATGATATCCAATCAACCTGCGACCCTTACACATGTGCTGTGTACAATACAGTGGGTATTAACTGATGGTGATTATTTTGTAAGAATTGGAATAGTGATTTCCAGATTAACATGTATTTTATATGGACGTCACACTTGATCTACAGTACTAGTAGATGATGGCCTTAAATTTAATTCGTCTTTCAAAAATTGTGTAGATCTATTGCCTGTATTGTAAGGTTCACTCTCCAGACTTGAGCCTGGGTCAAAATACATGCAAATGGTACTGATAGATAAGAATGTATTGCATTTGTGTTGTTTAAATGGGCCGGTTTTAATTGTACAATTTTCACTACTGTATATATTATTATATAACTTATACAATAAGCTACATATAAATACATGCAGGCAAGTAAAAGTACATGTAGTAGTAATTCATAGTGCTGTAGCGATTTGGGGGGAGAAAACACCAAGACTCGACCGGGACTCAATCCCGGCCAGCCACTACAGTGCCAAAAGTTTAAAACACCAGACATTTCTAGACCTTACCTGCAGTAAAGGCTGCCATTAGCATGGGAGGAAAAAAACTGAAGCAAGTGTTAGGTCTATAATGGTGTACATGTGCAGGATACAATTAGTACAAACAATAGAACGTAACTGAGGCAACTGAAAAGTTGAAGATGTGATCATTATACTGTAACTGATATATTTCATGAACATGCACTTGAGTTTGGTGTTATATATTTACATATAACAGATAAGTTTCATGTACAAATTTTTTCAGGTACGAGGAGGTCAACATATATAGGTTATCGTGAATCTGATCTCCTTACCTGATGAAAAAAGAAAATTTATATAAGAGCTGTAAATATGCAGACAAAAATTTAAACTGCATTGTTAATGGTCCCTGTGCATGTGAGACGTGGTTATCAATAGAGCTGAACTGTTTTCAGGTCAGATGTCAGATAATGTACGTGTAGAGGATAATGTAGAGAGGCAGACAGACTAGACTGAGTTGCAGACTGGCCAAAAGTTATTAGCCTGTTGTCTCTTTTCTTACCTGTCTCTTGTCTCACGTGTCCATTGTCTTACCTTTCTATTGTCTTGCCTGTCTATTGTCTTAACTGTCCATTATCTTACCTGTCTGTTCATTGTCTTACCTGTCTGTCTATTAATTGTCTTACATATCTCTTATGTCTGACCTGTACATGTGTCTTAGATCAATTATCCTGTTATTTTAATTTTTATTTATTTATTTATTTATTTATTTATTTATTTATTTATTCCCACGCCAAGGATGAAAGACAAAAGTGTACATACATAAAGTAGCACACAAAATCCCCATAGTAAAATCACATAATAAAAGCGTTCTAGTAAAAATCATTCTAGAATGTGTTCAGGTTAAAATATAACAGAGGAATATTAAAAATGAATATACTGTGAAAGTACTGTAAAAGTCCATGGACAGTGTTGGGTCAAAATAGTCAGAACATGTGGTCTGTCTTTAAGTTTCTTATGTCAAACTCAGGTCCCTGGTTTATATACATGTGTCAGCTGAAGTTAACTAACTAGAAATCAAAGTTAGTTTAGTATTTGGATAAGCTCTGTATTATCTCTAATTCCACTATATGAGACACACAAACCACTATAAATCTCAAGTTGATGAAGAGTTTATCTCTTAGTGTTTGGTGTTCTTTATCCTAGATCTGCATGAATAAGCAGCAATGTCAATATTTTGCATGAAACACTTCTTATACCATTTTTCTTCCCATTTAGCTGAGGCCAATTGACTGGCACATGTATTCCTTCCATTACTTCATGAGTTTTAAAATTCATCAGCATATTTGCCTTGGGGAAAATGGACGAATAATATTACAAATACCAGTTAAATGGGGTGAAGTAAGGACCAACCTTACCCAAGATGATACATCAAGTGAGTCATTACGGAACACACACTGACAGAAACCCAGGCGTCTTTCTGGGTATTCACAGACTTGCTGTTCTAATAACCTGATATCAAGATAAGTTAAGAGGTTGTGAAGACGGGGTCAGCGCGCTGTGCCGAGGGTTCGCTGTGCCGAGGGTTCGCTGTGCCGACAAAACCGGCAAATTGGTCTAAAATCGGCTAAGTTTTTCCGGAGCCCCAAAATCAAAGGTTCGCTGTGCCGAAAGGGTCGCTGCGCCGAGGGTTCGCTGCGCCGAAAAGGTCGGCTACCCATCACCCATTGTGCTTGTTATGTAGCGTGACGAGCAGTGACCTTTTTTTTTTAAATAAACGAGTTTAAAAAGTTCTCTTCTTCCATCCGTACCATTTGAATTTGTTAAAACTGCGCATTGAAAGTTTATCCTTATGGACATAAACATCTTAAATCGCTTTAAATAATCTGTAAGTTAATTTATTAATTATTTTTGGCACTTTGGGCGTCACCCACTTTAGGAAATTACTGAAAAGAAAACATCTTTTTATTTATTATCATTATACTTTTAGTAGTCGTAATTGTCACATGCAGTTATTTTAGCTTCGTATTTTTGTTATTATCTATCTAATTACTATTTATTATTGATTTAATGACATATAGTTTTATATTTGTGTGCTGTGTTACTTTTGATAATTAATTGCGTTAGCCAACTAGCACATGTACCTCTCAGAACTGATAAAGATACTTATTTAAATGTCAGAAACTCTTCGTAAGAGATTCATATTTCACAACAGAAGTTTAACAACCCATAGAAGTAAATGAATTCTCTTTACCACAAAATTACGGTTATAGCAATTATTCTAGTATCCTCTGAAAACTAAAATAGTTTGACTATTTTTGGCAGATAAGACAAATACTACTGAAAGAAGCTTATAAACCTTAAAAGTCGGCGTCTAACTAAACATACCAAGTTTAAAAAATAACGAATCTCTATTAATCAAAACGGCGATGAGTGAAGCAGAGCAACACTGAATGGTTAACTGAAATTCAGAAAATGAAGCAAATTTATCTTATGTTATAGCATTACATAAACAAATCGAGCAGCTGTACAGCATGGAGAACTTATTAAAAAAAGTTAGAGTCGGTTGCGCCAGGCAAATGGCACTGTACGAAGTCTGATTAATATCGAAAGTCCGTGCGACTTTCGTTCCTTTTCGGAACGCCAAAACATTCCTATCGAAATATATATAATGTTAAGTTTAAAATAAACAATAACCGGTCAGCATTACCATTTGCCTTTATAAGTTTCAAACGCAGAATTATTATATAACAAAACACAATACAAAATATAATTTAACATAACAGAAAAGATGAAAAGCGTTAAGTATTATTTCCGAAAGAATAACACAGAAGTTTAGGGACAGTCGCATTCTCAAACGATCTAAAAACACAAACTGTCACTGTTCTTAAACCTTCTTAAATTAAAAAAAAACTCAATGCGAAAATTAGTGTATCAATATTTTTGGTATTAGTATAAATTGTAATCTTAAAAGCGCATGCGATTATAATACGGCTTGGCCACGTACGTGCTCTGTTGAACTAAATGCATCCCCATAGGATTACCTAGAAAAATAAATTGATTAAATTAAAAAAGTACACGACTGAAAACAACAACGAAATGATTTGCCCCCATATATAAGGAAGCTTATATAACACTTGCCACAAAATTGATCGTAGGCCTATATCGCCTGGCAAAATGAATGAAGGCTTTTACTCAAAAATCAATTTAACTGATATATTATTTAATTTATATTTAACACTCAGAATAAACTTGTATGTTTACGTAATTGTATATACAAATACGCAATTATATATGCAGAAAATATAGTGTGTAATGCATGTTCTTTGTAGTATTAAAGGCTAGTAATGCTATTATATATTATTTTAATAAAAAAAGGTATTTTTTTCAAAATATTTTCTTCAAAGTATGGGCTATCTAACTCTACGATGGCTTCGGCATAGCGAGCCGTCGACGCAGCGAACCTTTCAGCACAAAATATAAACAATCGGCATAGCGAACCCTCGGCATAGCGAACCTTCGGCTCAGCGAACCTTCGGCATAGCGAACCCTCGGCACAGCGAACCTTCGGCATAGCGAACCCTCGGCACAGCGAACCTTCGGCATAGCGAAGCGCACCCGTGAAGACCATGAAGAATAAATCTGTAAACTCATTCTGTTTGCTCAAACCCCAACTAGAAGTAATTATCCCAGATTATGATACCCCAGCCTTTCCCTAAAGAACTTAAGCAGAATGTTGGTCTTTAAAACTTCAACCCAAGATAAGAGTTACGACTTGATTTCAATGATTTTTTTAAATTTTCTTTTGTGGGTGTGAGAGAGCCTGTGCTTAATGATTTCTTTTCATTAAGTTATCTATAAACTGCAGATAAATGAATTAATAAATGATCATGTCTACACCAAGGTAGGCAGTGATTTGACAAGTTGGGTATAAAAAACAGTCACTGTGTTTAATTTATGCTAAAAGAAAGAACGGGCGATATTTGTCAAGCAGGACTGCCAGATAAAGCTGGAAAGTGTCTGTGGTTATGTTACTCATGATAGCAAAACAGGACTGATTCATTTTGCTTCCTATGACAATTACTAGTAAGATTTCCTGATGTTAAAAAAAAAAAAAAAATAGGACTCCAAAATTTGAAAAACAGGTTGAGTTTATGTGAAAAAAAAAAAATTCTTTTGCACATCTAAAGTAATAAATCTTGTAAAAAAGGTATTGAAATAATCAATTGTGACATTTGGAATTAATGGGTGTAATAATACTCACCTGCACCTGCACCTGGGAACAGGTGTGTTTGTACAGATAGCCGTCACCTGTTGTTGTAGTCGTTGTCATTGCCATCATGGCTGTCATATTGCCATGAACTGCCACCACAAAAAATAAGCTATGAAAGGAAAACCGTGTTACTTATTATTGACTTTCAAGAATGATATGTTAAGGATTGACAAACAGCTCAATCCAATTTGATCTGATAATTATATCTTCATGGGTTTGTGCAATTTGTGCAGTTTTAACAGCTTAAAAGCTTCATATATATATAATGTATTATTGTAATCAAAATTAACAGACTAACCTATTTATCATTATTATTTTCGTGTTTTTTTTTTCTGTATATATTTGACAGCTTTTTACACTCTCTTTTATCTAATTAAATCAGGTCACCACTATCAGTGTCAGGTGTATGTCTATCAAATAGATTTATATTCCATTACACTTATATGGTCCATGTTTTATAGGACATTACTTTGAATAGAGAGAGTAATTTTAAGTTCTTCCATACTGAGTATAACATCCTCCTATGACAGTCTCATTTAGTGTGTCTGTGAACAAGTTTAGAGGAGAAAAGGAAAGCTGATATTTGAGACCGCATTCAGTAGATTAAATATGGTGAAAAATTAATAGCTGTCTAAACTCTTAATAGACACTGAATAGATTCCTGGGAGGATTACGCAACAAGCCTTCGAGTGGGGCGGCCATGAGTCATTGTTTCAAGTAAAGATAGCAGTTAGTCTTGCGGTCAGTAGTTTGATAGTGAGGGTTAAACACTTCTACTAGTAGCATATACACACAAAGAACTCTTCACTAGATATTGTGATATTTCTCTCACTGGCTATTCATTATCTGTTCAAATTTCTGTCTCAATTCTAGAGAGAGAAGTTATGCGTAAAAATGCCATCATCATTCAGCTGGTAGAGACTATGACCACATTCAGATTCTAATATCACTCAGCCCCAATCGATCCCACTTTGCAGGGGAATTCTTGCAAAGGTGCATTCAGTGTAATCAGTTTTATTGTCTGACATATGCCTCCTCGAGTAGCTACGTAGTTATAGTTAGTTAATTACCCCCTAGCAACTCAAGGAGGCATCTCAGACATGTACCCCGCTTACAGTGATTGAACTACTGCAGAGTTGAATCAATCCAGCTAGTATATGAGTGGTTTGTCTGAACGCTCCCTGTAGAGCACCTGTGTGGTAACCTGGTGATAACCATATACAATCATAGCACTGTGTTAACATTTCACAACTGAACTGAAGATACAACAAAATTTGATAGCAGTCTGTTTCTGGTCCAGGCTTTTCTTGGTAGTTGTTTTACTACAGAACTTATGATGAATCTGTGTCAAAACTTTGATTCAGGCTAAGTCTGCAGTACATATAGTCTACTAAATAATTAAAATAACTGCGGTTTTAAAACAGCTGTACTGCAGCTTTTTCTTTCTACCAAATAGTGATACTAGTACTACTAAAAATTTTTTTCTTTCTGGTTATTTCTTTCTTTCCTATAGGTTTCATATTTTTCTTTGACTTATTTCTTTTTTTCAAAGTGGTTTCAATTGGTAAAAAAGGTACAATATTTCATTTTAGTATAGAAGTTCTACTGTTTTATTTATTGTGTCAAAGAGGACTTAAACCATTACATTACATTGTAATTCTGTCAATTAAACTTTTAAGTTCAACTTTCATCCTAAAATTCTTTTCTGAAAGCAGCCACTGATGTGAGCATTTCTGCAGACAGTGCGCATTAGATCTAAGTTTTACGTGTAAACATTTCTATTTCTGGTTTCTGATTTGGTCTGATAGGCATTGTGTGTGCTTATACCCAGACTTCAAGGACTTATGTCAAAGACTGTAAATTAAAGCGGCTGTTTTGGTAGGACCCAAATCATGACAAGCCAAGATAAGAGCTCTACGAGGCATGACAGTTATCTTTGACTAAACCCATGCAGATGTCAGTTTGTTGGCTGTAATTTTGAATGATTTAGCGGCCAGCGGGTAAAATAAATGGCCATTAGGAGTGAACAGGAATTTAAAGTGATAAAAAGTCACTGTCTGCCGCGTGTGTTGTGTATGAGAGAAATAAGGGACGTGTTGCCTAGTAACGCGTACAGCATTATAGGTATCCAAACTTTTATTATTTATTTATTACGAAAGAGAAAAACATTGCTTGTCATGGAAACTTTTGTAAGCTGCAGGTTATACTTTTCAAGTTACAGTTTATGCCTGTAATTGAGTTATTGCTGCAGGGATATAATAAAAATTAATCTCTCTACATGGAAGCTACATGTTTATTACTTAATGACAAGGGCATTCCAGAAGTACACAAAAAGACCAAAAAACAATGCAAGAATGAAGAACGTATAGCCAGTATGGCAGTAATGTCAAACTGTTGTCCATAAAAATGACTGTTAATAAAAAAATCTCTACATGGAAAAGATAAGCTTAGAAATTTGTTCAGTAAACTTCCACATGCTGTTCTCTGGAAGAAAATTTGAACCTGTTCTCTGTAGGGAAAATTTGATTGCTTTAACTGGTCATTTCTTGGAGCTCTGTTTTATGAAGAGCCGGGACACCTGTCCTTAATGTTATGATCAACGCTAAAGACAACCTCTGTTGTAGTATAATATGTACTGTTAACGCTGCAGGGAAATTTGGCTTGGTGTCAGTGTACGCGACCTGCACACTTATACTGTTGCAGTCAACAGCTGTAATCAGGTAGGCGAAAAAACTCTGCCGCCATCTACTGAGCCAAGTCATTAGTCAATTTTAAGAATATATAAGCCTATGTTTATTCAAACAATCAAGATAAAACTTCTTTGGCTGTGGCAAAAATACTATATGAGCAAGGAGGTTAATTAAATTTTGATATACCTTAAGGCATATCAGGCTTGATATGACTTTAACGACATTTTAATGACTGAGTAGTGCCTCAAAAATCGACTTTTTTCACTATCATTATATCTACCTTGTTCAAAAGCAGTTTTTCTACCTAAGGTAAAATTGTGTCTATTGGTGATTATAAGGGTACATCTAACACCTAATCTGTTGTTCTAATCTTTGGATGTTTAATCTGATATATCAAATCTTAAGTAATGATTGAAAAGTTCTTAAACTATGTAGAATTTCTGTAAATTTCTTTTTATTTCTTTTTATTCCTTTTTTGTGGGAGGCTTGGGTCATAAAATTATTGGTCATAAAATTATTTATATTTTTGATCACATCTTCAAACAAAAAATCTATCTCAAATGAAAAGTTCTTGAAATCCAATGATCATCATGACTAAACAGCTGATATGAGTCAGGTTAACATGGAGTAATGAGTACATGTTCCCCTGCATGGGGTGCTTAGATTAAAAGTATATGGGCTCATTTCCACTGAAACTATCATTCTATGTAGATCGATCCAACTCTGCAGGGACTCCTGCTGAATGCAATCAGATTAACAAATTATGCACCTCTTCCTGGCATTGGGTATATAATGCAGAAAAGCTGATGATTACATAGGAGAATATTTGAAACAAGAGGAGGGGTGTGAATCTGTTTATCTGATTGCATTCTGCTACAGTCCCTGCAGGTTTGTATCAATCTGTGAAGAACAACAGTGACATTGGCAATTCACCCTTAGAGTGCATTCCCATAGATTTTAGATTGATCTATCCCCGTGGGGAGTCTCTCTAGATTACTGTCAGATGATCCGGCTTAAATGTCCGTCCCGCCTACTACAAGCTGCAAGGGGGTAATTAACTTTTGTGCCCGCTGGGCTGACAGCTATTTAGCGTGAACCCCCAGGGAGTTAGGTCGATCTAGTTGGATCGATCTAATCTCTGGGAATGGGATCTGACAGGCGCTGTACTGTAATTACAGGAACGATTGTAAAAATATTTAAGGGAAAATTCTTTAAAATTTGTGGATATAAATCATCTTACTAGTGGCATGTCAGACAATTTTTATAACCTCTATCAAACTGATTTTCTTTAAAAATGTCCTTTTCAAATTCTTCTCTGTCATTTTTTCTGAACCCTGTGTGTTATTGGGAGTTTCTATAGTAGTTGAGGCTGGAACTGACTACTGAAGACAGCTTTACTACTGTACCAGACATGCTGAAACTGTCGGTCCCATCGGTCATGACCGGCAAAATTTGTCTGGACCGGTAAAAAATTGGACTTAGTCGGTCCAAAGGACCGACAAGAGTTTAAGAGCTGCAATTTTGAATTCACAGCCATCATTCAACATACTCCACTAATAAAATTATATATAACACCCAAAGCGTTTTCACTTCCATTTCAAACCTATCACATACACAAACAAAGTAAGCTACTCTAATGTTACTGGTACTTTCTGTCTCAAACGAATAGGGTGATTTTTGGTCCAACAAACATCCATTCGGTCCGGTAAATTTTTCATTACTGCTGGTGCAAATGTCTAACCATTCTGAATAGTTTTCAGCATGTCTGTACACTGTACAACGTAACACTATAGGTTCATCTAATATACATGTACTGAATGATAGGTATACCTGATTATAGCTCTATATTACCACACTACATGACTCTGTGTCATTTGAAAGATAATTTATGTTTCAGTCAAGCATGCTGCCGTGAATATACTACATACAGAACATATTCAGTGAAGACCTCAGACTGAAATTACGTGGACTAATGGGGTTCATTAGAGAACTTGCTGGTAGCTGAGAGAACCCTTTATTGTCAACACATTTAAATGACATGATATTATGAGCTAAATCATAGTCATCTGGTAAAACGTGTAAAGGTATATCAGGCAGATCTGGGGTTTGGAAGTGAAAGCCAGCTTTCAGCTTGTGGACTTCTGGCAACAATATAATGCTGTTGTCTTTTTTTCAGCCTAATAAGATTTATAAATTCATCTTTGTTTCCATTTTCAAGGTGGACCTCAGCTGTTCTGTCTAGACATATTATTAATAGGTTTGATGTCTACACTGTGGTACAAACATTAATATCTTGAATCAAATGTGTGATGATTGCTCACAGAATATTTGCCACAATTAAATGATATCCCAATTGATATTAAATTTTTCCTGTGTTCTAACTGTAAGATGTTACAAAATTCTAAATGAGTCAGATTTTGTAAGGCTGTGATATTTTGGCATCCTTGAAATAATCAAATGTTCAGAAAAAGTGATGTTCGAAAATTAGAAATTTTGAAGATTCTGAAGTAGTTATCTTTAATACAATGAGTGGGCAGAATTACCATTGTTGAACACTGGAAAAGATATTAGTCTGTGCTGACATCAGCTGTCTATGTCACATTTGAATAACAAAGCAGCTCACTGTGAATTTCTTTTGTTTTGCTTCAGATTATGTAGGAGGTGACACGTAGAAAATATTGCAGGAGGATTGCGATGCAGCTGACATCGTCTAGCAAATGTTATTAACAGGAGTGGAGAAAAGGACTTAATTGGCAGCATCAGGCGAATTGATAAACAATTCTGCAAGAAAGTTGCTACAAGAGGATCTGTTTCTAGAAAAAGATTTTACTTTAAAATATAATACACATATTGACAGTGCTAGAAGTGGCAGTTCTTTACCTGTAGCTGTGGACTTTGATTAAACACAGAAGATTAAACCAGAAACTTACTTACTACTCAGTTACTTTTGTAAATGTGTACAAAGACGAAGGTTTATCTGCAGCGGTAGCAGTCATTCATGCAACAGTTTATCCCAACTTGTGAAACTTTCCAAACAGATATACCAAAATGAATTCCCATACAGCTTTTTATTTTGCGATTGGTTTGACGTGTGGATTGTTAGTGTCTTTCATGTTCACGCAGTACTCTGGCCTTACACACACTGCTAAGATGCAGCTGACCAATAATTTCCATTCAAGAGAAGTTTTACAAAGGGCGTCAGGAAAAGATGCGGCTGTGAAAAGTGACGACGAGTACGATGAGCACGGCCATCTTGTCTTCAAGGCCGTTGAGCCAGCCTTATCGCACGACCAACTGGACTTGGCGCAGGGACATCAGCAGGCTAATAAAGTGGAGTTTCGTGATCAGCATTTTCACCATGGTAAGCATGCGTGTGCATGTGTGTATGACTGTGCGCACATGTGTTTGTGTTTTTTTTATCAAACAAACGTAGAGCAGAAAGTGATATATGTGGATTTTTATCATTAATAAGATGCAGATCATCTAAAATTTAATAGATATGACATGTTTTATTTCTTGTTCTATAAAGAAGTCTGTCAGTTGCAAGTTATATGTGGTTACCTGTGAATCTGTATCCATATCACCACATGAATGGATCTCTATCTGTTTACTCTGACAGTTAAGAAGCACCTGTACATATTATGTACATTCAAGGTGCTTGTTGACGTTGAGCATTAAGTATCACATTAAAAATACAGGTGAAATGCTGGTCATTGTATTCACATATAAGCTGGGAAGCTGCAATATGGCTTGTTGTGCAGCAATTAGAGGCGTGAGCTTCAGACAAATTACAGCAGACAGAGAAATTAGAGAGTTGAAAAAAATGATGTATTATAAAACAGCACCTTGTATGACATAAAACATACTAGTTATCTATATGAACAACACACACAAGTGCTCTTTTGAAGAGAAAAATTGGTATCAAATTTATTTTCTTGAGACATTTTACACCAGTGGTTTATCCTTTCCTCATTGTTTTTGTACAGTATTTCTTAATATTTTCTATAGATTTGGGACATACAGGTGTGAATTCGTTCATTTTTTACTTAGGAAAATCTTTTCAGCTGCATAATTATGTAATTTGGTAATTTTTCAGATGATGATTCTGTCGCCGAAGAACTGAAAAAGAAAGTCCGGGTTCTTTGTTGGGTAATGACAGCTCCCCAGAACCTGGAGCTTAAAGCCAGCAACGTCAAGAACACTTGGGGAAAACGGTGCAATGTTCTCCTCTTTATGAGCTCCAAGGACGATGAAGATTTCCCCGCGATTGGTTTAGATATCCCAGAAGGCAGAGAGCATCTGACGGGAAAAACCATGCGTGCCTTTAAATATGCCTACGATCATCATTTCAATGACGCTGATTGGTTCATGAAGGCGGATGACGATACTTACGTCATAGTGGAAAATTTACGCTACATGTTGTCGGAGTATAATTCCAGCGATCCTATCTATTTTGGCCACCATTTTCAGACGATAGTGAAGCAAGGCTACTTCAGTGGTGGTGCCGGGTATGTGATCAGTAAAGAAGCATTAAAACGACTCGCCCTGAACGGAATAGGGAGACCCGACATGTGCAGACAAGATGGTGGTGCAGAGGATGCCGAGATCGGCCAATGTTTTGAAAAATTAGGTGTAAAAACTGGGGATTCTAGAGATGCCATGGGTAGAAGTCGGTTCCATTGTTTTAACCCTGAGACTCATTTATTAGGTGGATACCCAGACTGGTATTATAAATATGATAAATATGGTGCCAAACATGTAAGTAGACTGGAATGATTTTTATAACAGTTTGTCTCACAAATCAGCAATTCATATTAAGATGACATTACAGTTGTGTATTTGTTCCAGCTCACCCTCGTTTTAGGGACATTATTTCATTCCTTTGATTTCATGTGCAAGTTTTTACTTTGAACTTTTGATAAACAGGACATTTATCATTGAAATTTCTGTGAGTTAACCACATCAGTGGAGGTAGCCAGCTCACCCTTGCATAGCAACCATTCTATTTCTAGATGACAGTCAGAATAATCCTACCAGCATAGCAACAGGTGTTGATGAATTTCCTCAAACAAGATGATGAAAGTGTTAAACATTTTTTTTTCATTGACAGCTAGGAATAATCTGTCTGTCTTTTTGTTCGTCATTTTACACATGCTTTTGTGCTTCAAATTTGTTAGCTTTAAATCTTTATTTTCTGACTGAAACATAATAATTAAAAAATCAAAACGTCTAGATGAAAATCACCTGCTGTTCACCAAGTTGATGTCCCTGAAGAGAGATAAATGAGGATTGATTAAGTTAGCTCAGGGAAGAAACATGGCATGTGCGAAGCAGGAAAATTGATTAATGTATACACAGGGCTGGCACCAGCAGTCACCTGTGAATAGTTCACGAGAAATACACGTTTGTTTCTCCACCCCACCCCACCCGTCCCGCCTCCCCCCATGGCTATTCTCAACTGAAATATTTGAGTAAATTGTAGATTTATCTCGTGAAGAAATTGTTTTGACCTCATTGGCTTTACCATTTTGTCAGATAATTATTTTTAATTTGCTGACATGAACACAGCTCTACAACAAAGATTGAACAGGTTCATCAGCTGCAGGCATTAACATTATAGATAGAAATATGAAAGATAGAAAATTAATTAAAAAAAATTATTCCATGAAGACAGCTGTGTAAGTAACATCACATTGATCATGACGCACACCACCTCAACATTAATATTTATATTGTGCATGAAAACGTCTTTGTGAAGCTGTTTGTTCTTATAATAAATTATTTACTACTACCTCGTAATTGAACAGGAGGGAAATGAGAACTTTCGTAACCCTAGCACACTGAAGCTGTTATGAAATATCCTGTTATTATTGATAAATATCACTAAGGTAGAGTTTAGTAGATCATTTGAAATATTAATGAAATTGTCTTGTTTAAATGGTTTTCAGGATGTGTAAATATATGATATTCATGACATGGGCATTATTTTAATAAAAGTTCTTCATATAACTAACAATAAGATGACAGTACACCAGCATCAAATGCTCTAAGCCTAAGATTGGAATCTAAAATGGGCAGAGTGACAAATTGCTTAAATGTAAACTGTTAACAGTTTTTGCTATAGTCTGCCTCCTGCTTTGTTGCCCTTCTTTGAAATACCTGGTGGAAAGAGAAGACACTTCTTCATTAAATCTTGTACACAAGCAAAGCACCTGCAGCTATAATAACAATATTGAGATGTTATAGAATTCATCTTGAGGCACTGTCTTTGTTGTGGGGTTTTCATTATCAGGTTTTAGAGGTGACAGTATACACAGTTTATGTACAGTTATTGCCAGCCTGCCTACAACGGATAAGTGTGAACAGAATTAGCTTTTAAAAGAGTTAGAGTATGTGTAGGGAAAAATTTCATCAGTAGGACGGCACTATTTTAGTGATGGCAGAGATGAGTTGTTTTTTTCCTCTGGAAAAGTCCCTACATCTTGTGTGCTGAATGTTTTAGAAGCAAATGCTAAATAGTCATCTGTAATGTGATTAATTAAGAGTAAATATGTTGGGAAAATCTTAATCAAATCAATTGATTTTATTGTTTAAAAATTAAAGATTTTTTGTGTTATCTTTTCAGGGAATAGGTAATGTAAGTGACCATGCAGTAACATTCCACTATATTCCTCCCAGTTTGATGTGGGGCTTGGAGTTTTATATCTACCATCTCAGACCCTACGGTATAGAAAGCCACAGCCAGAGACTAAACAAGAAGCAGCTTAAGTGAGAAATTATCAAGAAATTCTTGTTTTGGGATGGGAAAAAATACTGAAGGATGTTTATGTCAAGGTCACAGAAAACTGCCACCAGAAACAAAGTCAGAAAAAGATATATACATTCTTTATTGTTCTTACTTTGAGAGATTGCAGCTTTGGCCTGGACTATACAAATACAGGCTGTCATCAGTATAAGAACAAGATACCTGAAGTCTGTCAGTTTGCTTTGATATTGTTTTGTTCAGGATATAAACTTACAAAAAAGAAACAAAAGAAGTAAAAAATTATAGAAAAGATAACAGAATCATGTTTGCCATACTGGTGGTGTTAGACGTAGCTGTCTGTACCTAAATGAGCAGAAACATTTTGGTGAAAATTCACATCATAATGTCTCTCTCTACACCTCTCTTTCTCTCTCTCTCTTGGCCAAAAAGGCCACTGAAAAGGAAAACTGCTGGACTGAAACTAGTTCAGATGATGAATTTTAGGCAGTGCATCTAGAAAAGTTTGTATGATGTTTATAAAAACTGTAAAGGTATGTCACAAATGGTGTGATTGTACTTGTTTGAAATCCAGAAAATTAAGTCTGTTGAATGCCCCTTTATGAATCGCCATCAGATTCCCAACACTTGCTATCTCCGTGGCAGGACATATAACTGATAGAACTGACATTGTGTAGTAGTTCATCTGTTCTCGACCATGGTTGTTCATTTATGTGAAGGATGCGAGAATCCTGCCCAGTATTGTCAAAACAGCATTTTTTACTTTTGATGTAAAAGCGGCAACTGGTATGGCCTGGTGACAGTTCTTCTCTATAATGTCGACCACTGGTGCATTTGGACATATAAAAATGTTTTACGTTTGTGCAATTTTTTAATTCCACAAAGATAAATTTGGGCGTTGTGACAGTTTTTTTGTTAGCCATAATGAAGCAGTGTCTGTNTTTCAATTTGTTTGTGTAAATAATATACTATTAGGAAATATAAGTAACTTTTTCTGTGATTTATCTGAAAAAAAAGCAAAATATTAGACATCACATGTTAAAATGCAGACAAGGTACAATTAGTCGACTAATTTAAATTCATATTGTAATTCTGCGGGATTATTGCGATGAGAGCTGTCTTTGTGAATGGTGCAATTTAATTTTTAAAATGTTTTAGTATTTATTGAAACAAGTAATTAGGAAGGATAGTTTGTGTATGTTGCCCACAGGGTGTAGTTATCAGTATAACACAACATGTAAATGTATAGATTTGCAGTTGTTCATAAAAACATATACAGTTAATTTCATGAGGGAAAACACTTTGATTGATTGATACTTACTAGAAAATTAGCATGTTTTACTTTACTGTATATACTTCAACTTAGTAACATTGTGTTGTATGTATTTGCTTACACCGCAGATGGCTTTTTCAATTTGACAGAATTTTTTGGTAGAATTAGAATATTATACAGTGTGCTGGCGGCAATGTAAATCATTAATGGCGGAAACAGTGACCAAACATTACATCGTATCTTTACTGAATGAGTCCCACTATGACGTTTGCAATAAAAAAGTTGATATAATGAGCATGGTGTTATTTTTATTCGACTTCTTTTTGTAAAGTAAGTATACATATATCTTGCCAGGTTGAGAGGCCGGAGCAGAACAGTAACTTTAAATATTTTTGCATCATATGTATTAAGCACCTTCAAGTAGCACAAAACTTTGTGAGATGACAAGTTTTTCTTTTTAGAGATATATGAAACATCAGGCAGCATTACTAAATAGACTCTCCAGTAAAATTTGATGATAGAAGCTGCCATTTTGGCATCAACTTTCCAAAGTGATTAACAACATTCCTCTTTGAAGAACTTTATACATTCCTCTTTGAAGAACTGTATACAGAATTCAGCCAGTTCCCGTTTAGCTGAATGATAAATTGCTCTACATTTACCTTCTTATATGTCCAAATATAGTAATATTCATTATGAAAATACAAATTTTTTGACAGTGTGTGACAGCCCCATCAAATCTTAAAAACAAAAACTGACAGCCTTGTCTCTAAAAAAATATTATCTAGTCAAAATCACCATCACCTCACAGATTCTGTTTTGACAAATTTTGCAATAAAAAAACCAATGCAGTCATTGGTCACAGTTCGTGCTGAAAGTGGGTCAAGGTCACCAGGGTCAAATCTCTGCAGCAGTTTCAAGTTCTCCTCTGAAAGCTGGGAGTCTGGGAAGTGAGCACCTGTTCCTCCAAGATGAGGATCCTAGAATTTAAAATATTTGTATTTCGTACTCTATTACACTAATGAAATACCAGGTCCATGATTGCTTTCAAATTGGTAAAGTCTGGACACATGTTAAACACAATCTTATTTTACTGAAAAAAATGGAAATTAACTGAAAAAAATGGAAAATATTAGACAAACTTTCTCATCAAGCTTCACTTTGCTCTGATATTAATATTTTAACAATTATTTCAAAACCAATGAACTATTTGACATTCCAAATACTTTAAATTACATGGCATATTAAATTGCTTCAGGAGCAAAAATAATTTTGCCTTCTCAAAAATAAAATTCAATTTTTCAATTACTCTTTTTCACAGAAACTGCTAGATTCAACTGTATTTTCAATATCAATTTGTTTAACATTCTTCACAGATTATTTTGGGCCAAAAAGTATTTTGAAAACCCCTGTTATGTGCAAAAATACATTTTCTTTAATTCAGAGCACCTGTTTGGCTAACTTCACACATGGATACTCTCTCAGCAGCCATTCCACCTGTCGCTCATTCTCCCCATGTGTCACTGTACAAGTGCTATAGACCAGGACTCCGCCAACCTTTAACAAATGCACGGCCTGTAAAATATTAATAACTTAAAATTAAACAAGAGATATCAAGTTTAAAATATAATAATTAATGAAGAGAAATGGTTGAGGTTTTATACCCCCTTCCTCAGTAAATGAGCCATATCATGACTGTCATGTTATTATTAGATATATTCTACAACAATTTTAAATTGAAATTGTAAGTACTGGGTTACAATTATTGCTAAAAAGATGACATCTAAACATTGGCAAATTTATGCTGTACAGGAACTAAGACTTGAACACCTTAATGACTCTGTAAACATCATCATTTTTAAATAGAGAAAACAAATTTAAAAAACTGCATTAAAAACCTATATTCTGACCCAAACAGGGAACTCCTGGCATTGAGTAGAATATAGAAAAACTGGCGATTATATGAGTACATTGGAAACAAGAGGAGGAGTGACAGTCTGTTAACCTGATTGCATTCAGCCAGAGTCCCTGTGGAGCTAGTGCACATTAGCTAGGTCAAGAAAATTCACTGTGCTGGTCTCTTATTTCTCCACTATTACCTGAGCCAGAAGTTTCCTCTGTAATGGAGGATATGAGCTGAGTTCCCTGGCAGACATTTTGTTGAACACTGACGGCCTCTGCCCCAGACCACTGCAAGGTGCGTCTAGCAGAACACGGTCAAAATATTCAGGGGGAAACGGAGGGAAAGGATCACCATCTGTAATAATACACCATGTATTGTAAGAAGTATAAGACAGTATAATATGAACCAGCCTTTTCATAATTTTTTCATTTAAAAACCTACTAGTTTAATTTGGTACTACATATGAAAATTAATCAATCATTAACATATAATTGAAGAGAAAATGAAAACGCTTTAAAACACCAAAATAATTATTGGAGCTAATTCCCATTGACTATTCACTGAAATCAACCTGTTAGGTCAAGATTCAATTGGCAAGTAGAAATTAACATTGCTATTCTTACAGAAATATACAACAAAATTATTCCTTTCAAACACATACACACAAACACACACCACATACATACATACATAGCACACACACACACACAAGCACACAGCACACACACATATATAGCACACACACACACAGTTTACCTGCATCTATTGCACAGCTCTTGGTAGCATCATAAGGAAATGCCCTGACAGACTTCAGGTTCCACTTGGAAGCATTGGACTGTATTCTCTCTACTCTGTTCTGTCCCTTGTCAAAAGCTATCACCAGACCCTGCAACAAACTACATCATTATTTTGATGGAAAACAGACCATGAGTCTCTTTCACACTAATGCACTGTATGTAGCATAAGGCTTCAGCAGCACAACTGTCCAGCTACATTAGAAGAGGTCCTAACACAAAATTTCACTTTCATAAGTTCATTTCTTACCATTTAGGCATAAGTTGGTTAATTGCCAGGCCAGGCCTAGAGTGGGACTTCAAGGATAAAGTAAGTTAAATTTGTTAAAACAACAGTCAAAATCAGAGGTCTTACCCCTTTAATATTACAAACTACATGTATTATAATATTGCAACCTGTTCGAAGAAATTATTATCATCAATTATTAAAATTTCTAATAAGCAATTTATCTATAACATCCTCACACCAAACCCCACCTGGTCTCTCATCAGAGTGGCAATGTGTGTGGTTTTACCCCCTGGAGCAGCACACATGTCCAGCACGCAGTCGTTTGGCTCAGGATCCAACACATGACTGCAGATGACAGACGGAAGATTCTGGGGAAACACTACACTTGGAAGAATATCAGATAAAGATGGCGCCACATATACAGGACTTGTCATTTCTATGCCAACTCCTCTGAAATTTAAATTGAATTTAATGAGACATATAATAATTTGAAGTGTTTTACAGTGGGGACATTGAGAATATGTTCTTAAAATCAAAACTAAATTGAAGAGAAGTGACTGTTAATGCACCATAAAGCACCATCCAAGCAATTTAAATAAAGTCTCTGTGATTATATTTTACTAGATTTTACACAGATTTTACACAGATATGAATCTAGTTAAAGAGTTACTTTGCTGGTGTTTCTGACTTAAACAAGGAATGTCTACTGATCCTAGCTATTCCGTTGCCCACAAAAAGTTTTCGTTCCTCAAAATCATCCTTCAGTCCTTTCTTGCAGGCACCCTCTATATCTGCATACACAGACACCAAGTCTCCACTCTGCATATCTTGAAAAACATTTGTCATAAAATCATCAGCAACAGGCAAAAATAAAGATATAAAAATCTTATCTGCTTAGTTCCACAAAATAAGTCACAAAATAATTGTGCCTCAGCATACTCTGGTATATATGCCAAACGAAAGATTGTTATTAAGTCTGTAGTAAGAATAAAAAATAGCGTAACATTTAATAATAATAATAATATAGTTTATTGGCAACTGAAATTGTTGGATTGTACAATAATATCGATTATTTTATACCATAAGAAGCAGTGCTACATTGTTTCCAGTACAAACAAAACAAAATCCCTTGGAATCCTGAAAAAGCATAATGTGTCATGATGTCTCACCCAGCACTGTCACACCTAACACAATGTCTCAATTGGTACTGTCACACCTAACACAATGTCTCATCCAGCACTATCACACCTAACACAATGTCTCATCCAGCACTGTCACACCTAACACACTGTCTTACCCAGCACTGTCACACCTAACACAATGTCTCATTCAGCACTGTCA